AAAAAAAAAAAAAAAAAAAAAAAAAAGGATCCAGATTCTCCGTTGTAACGTCTCTCTACCCATGTGGGCGCTCCTCTCCGTGAAACGCAGATTCCTTTTGCCCTCGTGAGGTCCCTTGGGCAAAAGGAAGAAATGGCTGGGGAATCCTCGGAGCACGAGGAATTTCCTTCGGAGTGTTTTGACTTTTTTCTTTCCGATTGCATCATACTTAAGCGCGCGCTTAAAGACCCCTGCGCCGCGCTCAAACACGCTCAAAGCGTTTTAAGGCACGCGCGCGCGTCAAAACATCAGCGCGCGTGCACCATGGGGTTGCGCATAGGCAGGGGATGTCGTGGGGGGTGTTGCGCATAAAAAAAAGGTTGGGTGGTTGGGGGTGATTTTGGGGGGGGTGGGGGGTTGGGGGTGGGGGGGGGGGTGGTGAGTCTCTCTCTCTCTCTCTCTCTCTCTCTCTCTCTCTCTCTCTCTGTGTGTGTGTGTGTGTGTGTGTGTGTGTGTGTGTGTGTGTGTGTGTGCCCGTGTGTGTGTCTGTGTTCATGTGTGAGTGTCTTTTTTTCTCGTTTTTATGTTTTTCGTTTTTTTTAATATATACGAACTTTGAAAAAATGCAAACAAAAATATGGGGTCGTATATCTCCAAAATATCTACAATTATTTTTTTTGTTAATTTTTTGCCTGCAAAAAAATCTCTGTGAAAAAAAAGAAAAACCCACCCATTTCATATTGTTTTTTTTTTCTTTTTCTTTTCTTTCGTTTATGTTTTTGATTTTTTTAAAATACAGAAGGACTTCAAAAAATAGAATAAAAATTACAAGGTTGTGGATCTCAAAAAGATCTACAACCCTGTATGTTTCGTTTTTTTTTTTGCTTATTTTTGTTTTGGGGAAAAAAATACTCCCGCGCCCGTTCAAAGCCCGCTCAAGCGCTGTTGAGCGCGGGATTGAGCGGAGCTCAATCTGCGCGCGGTTTCACAGCCATGGGCTACCGATGGCGTACACCCCTTTCGCTCCAAGATCTGGTATTCTCCCCTGCAGAGGCAACATCCTGAGAAGCTTCTCCATCCATGGAATGTGTCCATGGAGCGCGAGGAGCATACATGCCGTTGCAGCGGAGATTCCCACCAATCGGAGTACCTCCATACCCTCGCCCTGCCCCCTTAGGGCACACCGAAACCGCAGAAGCACCGCAAGGTACTTCCATAGGGAAACAGTGCATAAGGGGCGAGAGAGTCGATCGCTGTGCGGTGTTCTAGGCGTCGTGCGCCTCGGAGGTCTTGGACTTGTCAGGACCTCGTCATCTCCCAAGTCAACCACTGGATCCTGTTCCTCTTCGTTGTTCCCTTCATCATCATATAGCCCCTCATATGCCAAGTCAGTGTTCTGTCGGACCAGTTCCTCGATGGCTTGGTCCCTAGTGATATACTTGATTCCTGCCTTGCGGCATAGCCCCTTGATACGGTCCGCCCTCTTCGACGTCAGATCCCGTTGGAGATTAAAAATGAAGTCCATCATAGTATGATCATACCGCTTCTTGAGCAGGAAGCCCGTGTCTTCGTAGCTGATGACGTTGGCGGAGATGGTGATCCGCAGCGCGGATCTTCCGGCAACTGATCTTCTACCGATCTCTTGCCTTTGTCTCTCGATCTCGCGAGGCTCTTCTCTCCGCCGCCGCTAAGCTTTCTCCCTGCTCGAATCTTGTCTGCCTCCTGGTCACTTTCGTCCGCCGTGGTGTGTCCCTCGGGGAACGCCGCGGAGATATCTCTGGATCTGTCCTCGGTGGTGTTCTTGATTCCAGCACCCGTATGAGCTCCCCGATTCTCTTGCTTAGATCGGATTCTTCCTCTGATGGGGGATCCGAGAAATCTTGGTCGACGTCCCCTCCCCGTCTTGCTCGTCCCCGTTTTGGCGTACCTTCCCCTACTCCTCGTTTCCTCTTCAGTTCTTCTGCCTGCTTCCGCAATTCTTCTTGCTGCTTCCGCATGCCTTCCTTCAGTTCTCGGGCCATCAGATTCTCAACTTTCAACTCCTGTGCCTTCCTCGAGAGTTCATCACACCTACGTCTATCTTCCTCCTCCCTCTTCGCATGTTCCTCCTCTCTTCTCTTCTTCTCCTCTTGGTCTCGTTTCTGTCTCAGAATATCTCGATAAAATTCCTTCATTCCGTCCAACTCAGGATCGCTTGCCAACCTCCCCCTCTTGGCCCAGCAATCTCTAGCCATATGTCCCATCTTACCGCAGTTGTAGCATGTCACCCCTTGCCCGCTCCCGCCATTGTACCCTCCTCCCCCATAGTTCCCGCTTCCCCCATTCCCATTCCCATTAAAGCCCCCGTTGTTCATTCTGTCCATCCTTCCGCCTACGGTTGTCTTACCCTGTTACTTATGTTCTCAGCACAATCCTCGTCTAACACTTACCTATTAGCTTACACTCCTCACCCTTACTCCGTTTCTACCAATTACTCCCGTCCTACCTCTTCTCGGTTGCTACGTTTCCGACCGTGATTTCCCACATCAGAGTCCGTATCCCTGTTCTCCTGTCATAACAGCAAAAGCAAGAGCAAAAGCAAAAGCAAAGCCCGAAGACGCGATCACCCAAGTGCTGCGAAACAGCGCACCAAGAGGAGACAGATGCGGCAATAATCTGACGCTAGGGAGCGACACCAGTAAAGCAACGAGATACATGAGATACTCATATACAAATCGCACTCATGCCTTACAAGGCCACAGACCTAGCACAAAAATACAGCTACAATGTGCCCAGTCGTGATAATCAGTCGTCACTCGCAAAGACAAAGTAGACGAACGCTGCTGATAAATCATAATAATAATGATCCCAAAATGAGAGAGAATACATACACAGACGAGAGAGGGAGGGGGGAGAATAGACTTTGAGAGGGTGGAAGAGCCTCCTCCCTACAGCCCACTTCCTCTTCGGGCACTTCCTCCTCCTAGCAGCATAATCGTGTCTCAATCAGAGATCCGGACATCCAAGACAATGTAGACCAACAGTGCCACGTGGCACCAGCAGACCAGTCATCAAGCAGCAGAGTGACGACGAAGTTGAAGACACCAGGTACGTATCACGACCCCAACCACAGTCCTGAATCCTCCTTCCGAGTACTTGTCAAGCAGAACAGCAATACAGGCGCCCAGCGCCTTCCACCTCAGCAGCAGTCCTACGTGGCAGCCGCCACGAAGATGACATGTGGCATCTGCCACGTCGACAACCCCTCAGATAGTGGTGCTCCAGCCAGCATGCTGGTCGCTTAGCACACTCAAGCCACGAGGTCGCACAGCACACTCAAGCCACGAACCAGCGACGAGCGCCGGTCGTCCAGTCCTCCCAGCAGTGTCTCGCCAGCAAGACAGCATGACGCAAGAGCGTCGAGTCAGCATAGACTCCAGACGAGAGTCCAGATGTCAAAGCCAGGTAGTCAACTCAATATGTAGTGTTGACGGCAGGGTCTGGACCCCAGCCTCAAGTCAGCAATGGCCGAGATCAGATTGTCGTGGACGGCCTGGATTGAGTTGAAACTGTATCCTCCTTGGTCCACCAGTTTGACTGGGTACCTGCACACATACAAGTCAATGCACACGACCAAAGGCCTGGGCGAGGTACCTGGACCGACAGTTGGCTTTGACCTTTGAATTTCCTGCTGTGCCTGGTCACACAGCATCTGCAGCGGCCTGAGGCCGAGCGTGGTCGCACTGCTTGCTGGGCCTGGGCCTTGGTTACAGCGCCCAGGCCGCTGGTGAACGCGGTTTACTGCACAGCTATGGATCCTCACAGAAACATGGCGACATCCCCGACCGGTTCCGTTGGTTCGCCTCCCAACTCATCAGGAGGTGCTCGTAGGTGCTTCAGTTTCAGAGGAGTAGGGCTCGTTGCTGCCATGGCCTGGTTCCGTTGTTTCGCACGGCAGTCTCCGAATCCGAGTCCAGCTCGTCGAGGCGTCGTCATTTCCCCGCTTTTTTTCCGTTCTAAATACCGTCATGTCCTGCTCAGTAGTCGCTCGTCTAATCGTACCCGTCATTAATTCAAACCCTGCATACATTTCCCAAATTTCAAAATTTGTAATATCCTGACATGTTCCCCTCACTTCGCATTACCTCTGGCTCTGTACGTGCCGGGACGGAACCTCTTATCAATTCACCCCGAAAATCTACCATTAAAACCTGCCGTTCCCTATGATTCTCTCCCTACCTCGTCTACGGGAGTCTACGGAATTCTACGGGGATCTCCGGATCCCTCCGCTCCTATTCTGAAAATACGGAATTCTACGGGGATCTCCGGACCCACCCGCTCCTTCTCTGAAAATACCACAAATACCAAAATCCTTCCACTATGAATCCTGGTGTCAGTCTCTAAGAATATCCTTCCGTAATACGCCGCCAAAAATGAGAACGAACAATTCAAAATTCAAAATTCAAATGAAAAATTCAAATGAAAAATTCAAATGAAAAATTCAAATGAAAAATTAAAATGAAAAATTCCGGTGCTGTCCAACCCCCAGCCCGTATTCACCCGTACTTCCCAGTAGTACTACCTGGTCCAGCCTTCCCCCACAGTTCCCGGACCATGGCGTGAAACGCATCAAAAACTGGCTCAATAGCCAGTCTTGCCGAACCGGCCAGACCCTGGACAGCAGTGTTTTTTTTTTTTTTTTTTTTTTTTTTTTTTAAAGGGCCACGGTCTTGAGATATCATCATTGAGCTGACCGGCCCCAGGCAATTCAGAATATTTGGTTTTACTCATACAGTTCCATCATCTGGGTTCAAACACGGGTCTGGATTTCAACAGTTCAATGGTGTACCCACTGAGCTAGGCTCTTGGGTAAGAAGTGTTTTTTTTTAGAGTTAGGAATTTTCAAATCTTGTGAAACTTGGGCTAACCCAGGGGTTCGCCCACTGTAGCTCTAGCCGTATCGATTTTTTTACGTCAAGACACGGCATTTGCAATACTCTCTATTCTAGGAGAAATTTGCAGCGCACACGGCACCACTCGGCATCTGCTGTTTGAGGCAGCAACGGTTGTTTAAACTTTTTTATTTTATTTAAGGGTTAACTACGGCACAGTCACGAAAGCAGTTTGTAATTGCATTTCAAACTGGGTTTTAGCAGTTTAGTCAGGGCCCGAGTTTCGAATGCAGTTAAAACTCCGCCTGGCCTTTTTAGCAGTTCAGTCAGGGACGTGGCCCCTTTTTTTTCCCCCTTTTTTTTTCCCTCGTTTTTTTTTCTATGTTTTTCTGGTCCAACCCCCTCCCCCCCGGCGTGGCCGAGACATCTCGGCTGTGGCTCTGCCACACAAAGAGATGCTTTTTTTTTTTTTTTTCTCCTCGGGCGTGGCCAAGACATCTCGGCGGGCCCACACGACAGGGGGGGAACAAGGGGGGGGGGAAATAAAACAAAGGGGAAAAGGTAAAGAAATGGAAAAAGAAACAGAAAAAAAAATGAAAAAACGAAAAAAAAGGAAAAAAAAAAGGGGCCACGTGCCTGACTGAACTACTGAAAAGGCCAGCCCGAGTTTCAACTGCATTTGAAACTTGGGCCCTGACTAAACTGCTAAACCCAGCTTGAAATGCAATTACAAACTTTAACCCTGACTGCACCGTAGTTTTCTCTTTATTTAATTTACTAACTAATTTTACTTTATGTTTGTTTAACCTTTTTTGCACTGCCTACGAGGGAAAGGTTTGCTTTGATCTTTTCCACTTGAACCTGTAGCACACACCTGATCAGATTCAGGAGATCGTTGCGAATCCGCACCCGAGTTTTTTTTTTTTTTTTTTTTTTTTTCAAACTCTGAAACTTTCTTATCGATAAATTATCGAGGCCGGGGTCCTCACAGACGCACCGAAGTATGTGACACATACGGGTAAATGCTGGGTATATGGTGACCCTTTATCCACGGTCATATCGTAATTCCAATCTGTGTCTATGTGCCTCGAATGTTTCTTAATTAAATCTTGCCAATGCACAAGTATGAGTAATACGACTGGATACAGAGAGGATTAGGGAGCAAAAAGTCAGGACGCCGGGGGTGACCCAATTTTTTTTTATTTTTTTTTGAAAGCTTGTCCTTTTATTGCCAAGAAAAACCGAAAAGGGAGGCCAGGGACCTCAGAATTCAACCCGGAGTTATCCTGGCAGCATCAGCCAGTTTCTCTTACGAGCAATGCTCGCAAAACTACCAACTGCTTCCACTCTGACCATCGTTGCTGCTGGAAAACGGGTCCAGCGTCCCACCATACAATCCACACTTTCCAAAATCAAACTTTAAAGCGTAGGTAAAAAGGGGCTCCTAAGAGCCATTATTGACAACCTTCCATAGAGCAGGACTTCCACTAACCTACTGCATGTCTAAGCTGAAGCACTGCCAAACACGGTAACCAACAAAAACAAAGGGAGATCCCTTGTGTTCTGCTAAGTCGCAGAAAATCATAATCGCCTTTTATGGAGGGCTACATTCGTCCCCCTACTTCGGGCTCCATTAACCAACTGGGAAACTCCATTCTGCCCTCTGCTGAAACTTTTGCACAGTTGGTCTTGGCCCATGTCTTCATAAACCAGTGACGATTTTTCCTCCTCCAATCTGCAAGTACTTCCAGCCTGAGGGCTAGTTTGATAGTTTGACTCTGTTCCTTATCTGATGGAAGTTCATTTCTTCATGATGGAATACCGGCGCATTCCTCTCTGCCAGAGAACTTCCATCAAGATCCCTCTGCAGCATAATGCCACATAGTTTACCCCAGCCCCAAAGTTGCCCCTGGCCTGAAGCTTGCCAAAGAGTATGAACTCGTCACTCCACTGAAACTCTCCACTTAGCTTCTTCCAAAATTCCTTCCACCACTCCCAGACACTCACCGACACCGGGCACGACAGCCGCAGGTGCATGGCCGTTTCTCATCCCCATTCACAGCGTTCACACGTGGCCGGAATGTCCATTCCCTTGCTGTTCAGCCAAGTAGCTGTCGGGGTAATCTGAAGCGACTGCAGCCACTGGAGTACCGCCTGTCTCTTTGAGAGCAATGATTTTAAAGCTTTCCAGAGAATTAGGAGATCTGCTTCCTCGACTGTCCCAGACGCCACAGATGAAACTTGAAACTGGGCCAGTCTTCTTATTGCTGTTTCGATTGTTTTTTTCTTTACCCCTTCTTGCTGCAACATGACACCCACCTTCGGTCTCAGGTCTGTACTTACACACAGGTACTCCTCGTTTGAGACAGCTAGCCTTCCATCCAAATAATACCGGTTCTACTATGATCTTCTCCTGAGCGGTTTTTACCAATTGGCAGGCCGTTCCTTTTTTTGTGAATTGCTCATGAACTCGCACTTCCTGCAAGCCCATTGTGGAGCCGATCATCCCATCTTCCTTCCAAACCAAAGATCTGTTGTGGCTCGCTGGTCTAACCCCCCAGATCTGGACTTTCATTCCAGATCTCAGATCTGGTCCAATTATTTTCCAAAGCCTCCCCGTGTTGCAGGGATCCTCTACCCAGCAGCCAGCATTCAGCTCCCTATCATCCTTGAGTGCATTAACCCAATGTGGAGGCACTGCCTGTTTAATTTTACTGTAGTTTTGTTCTACTCCTCTGAGCCTCGGTAGCAATCTTTTCACTTTCTCCATAGGCAGCCAATCCGAGATTTCATAATCCCACAGGTCCTTCAACTGCAGGATCCCATGCTCCACCCAGGATCTTCCGAATGAGCCGGAGCTGCCATCCGCTTTCAATTCTTCAACTGCAATCCAGAATGATTTTTTTTTCAAACACAATTTGGTTTAAAATTTCTTACTTCGACCTTGGTTCCTCCACCAACTGTGGAAGGACCTTCTTCCAGGCCATAATGATATTTCTCCACAGACTCGATTTCGGCATCCTGAGAACATAGGAAGGGATCATAAAGCAAAGCCAAACGTGATGACCCAGCTGCAATGACCATTCCTCCGTTAAGATGTATTTGGCCAGCTGAATCCATGCCTTCTCCTCAGTAGAGAACATGGCCGCCACGGCCCACCGGCAATTTAGCCAATAAGGCTACATTTTGTTGCATGGGATCCAAAACACTCAGGGCTCCTTTCTCTCTTGCACTGCAAATCAGCTCCCAGGCAGCCTTCACGATGAATCCTTGCTGATCTGATGCCATTGGTTTCCACAAGTATCTCGCTGCAACTGTTTTCGTTCTCTTGTAAGCTTCCTCCCCCAGCAGGTGGACTGTGAGCGGGAACCACAGCAATGGAGCAGCCCAAGGAACAAGCCTTCAATCCCGGCGGCTCTCTTACCGCCACCGAGATAGAGGGCTTGGAAAAGGGCTTTCACAAAAAAAAAAAA